TTCTCCAAATTTCAGAAGTTGCTAAACCTTATGTAAACACACGGACTGCTAGAAATGCTGACAAACTGCCTGGGGTGTTCTTGGTCCACGTTGCGTTGTTTCGCTGTGAAAAACCAGCTCTCAAAGACTTTATGAGCAACATGTTGAGGCTGCTGGCTCCAATAATCCAAGCAGGATTTGTGAAAAGGCCCTCTCAGAACTGTTTGGGTATGTTTAAAGTGGGTAATTACAGAAGTAGCACAGTACTTTTATATAATGATGTGTTTGCATGAATTTCAATTAACGGTTTAGCCCGACTCCAAGAACAGTCTTTGAACTTTTTGTGGCATGAAGTATACAGCCTTATTTTAGTTAAAATGTCTTTACTGTCTGTCGGCTGTAAGGTTTCCCTTTCTGAACTAGAAACTTTCTAAGTGTGGTTTTGGGAATTTTGATTTTAAGATATATCCGGATATCGCTTCACTAGTTTCAAAACTCCCAATAATGCTCCAGGTTAATTAAATTAATTAATCCTTAAAATGTTTTCCATTTGTCATGGGTATGAATGTAGTGTGTGGACCTACTGGGTAGTGACCTGTGTAGGCTAAATGGGATTACTTTTTAGGGATTACTTTTTTTTTTACTATGTTATGTCTGCGTGGGACAAATACTACTTTGTATTTAGTAACGGTATGTACAAAAGAAAAATGCATTTTCAATAAAAAGACAATGATTTAAAAAAAACGATATATCCTGTAGTACAAAAAAAAGTGTTTTATTTAAAGACCAGACCTGATGTTGAGTCGTTAAGTTTCAAAAACTTTTCAGGTCTCTGTAAAATGCCCCAGGTTCTTGCATCTACCATGGGGAAAGAGAAGTAACAGTTAAATTGGAAAATATGATGAATGGTTGTCTGGGTGGCTAAAATGCTACCAGTGAAATTTTTTGATTATTTGGGTACAGGAGCTGGGTGGTGTCGAGGATGGATGGGTATTTGGGGCGAATCTGGACTTCTGTGTGTTAAATGTAAGAAAATTAAAAAAAACTTAACCATAGTGAAAACATGGAACTCAAGTTGTGTTTATTATTTCTTTATTTGAATATGGACCTGACAGGGGAGAGGGAATTTAGAGCGCCATATTTGTTTTACTGGAGTAATTCGGCTAAATCTGTCATTTGGACTGTGAGGATCATGTTCTGATTTCTACTGAGCATTTAACACAATTCAACCTGATTTGCAGTAAGTTTAGAAGACGCCAACTGAAGTCCTTTACAATTACTTAGACCAAAGGCTACCTGACAATTGGACCACAGTTTGTGAGGCTGAAAAGTCAAGAGTTCATTCAGCAGCGTTCCTGTCGTCAGCAGAAATACTCGAATGAATCTGCAGTTTTTAGCAGCATCAGAGATGAACAGTGAGCTGAGCACAGGGAGCTGGTGAAGCACTTTGTGGCATGGTGTGGAAACCATCATCTTTATCCTGAATGTGGACAAAACAAAGATGATTGTAGATCTTAGAAGAAACAGTAACTAGATTAATACCATTACCATCATGGGGGAACATGTTCAAGTGATGCAGGAATATAAAAACCTTGCTTTTCTTCTGGACAACAGAATCTATTGGAGATACAGCCGTGAAGCCGTCTACAAGAATGAACTGAGCAGACTGGACTTCTGAAAGAAGCTTAAGTCCTTCAGTGTTTGAGGCAAGATGCTGCAGACCTTCTAAGTCTGTTCTACCATCATCTATTGGTGAAAGGATCAGAGCAAATGACTTAAAGCAGCTTGCAAGCTTCTAAAGAAGGCCGTCTCTGTTTTAAAACCCCTTAAAGAACATCTGGAGATTATCCTACCAGGAAGAACAGAGTAATGGATAACCATGAAGGCATCACTATTCAACATTTTTTATCTGATGGTTGTGACTTTTGCTGCAACTACCGTGCAAAAACAATCTAGAAAGAAGTAAAAAAAATATTAAATTATGTCTATTTTGCCTTAATGAGTATGTAAATAAGAGTTTGCAATGGATTTTTTTGACTATTAAAATAAGATAATTGGATAATATGCACTTGAAATAAGACAATGCAATTGTTTTTTATTTTCTTATTTTAAATGTAAATTGTCTTCTTCCATTTGCAAAGTGTCTCTCTTACCTCCACAATTCAAGAAAAGTTGCTTATTTTAAGAGAAATTACTTATTTAGATTTCTGTTTTTTGCCGTGTAATTATTACTTTGCAAATCGATTAAGCTGTTTGTTTTATTTGATTAATAATCGGATAACCAAAGTTTCCTTAAAGAAGACTTTATTTATTTTTTTTTAATGAAATTAAACCAGGTGAAACTCAAACTTTTCTACTGGAGGAGTTCTCGATGGAGCATATTGATAGACGAAAATCAGTTATTTTTTTATATTAATACAATTTTTTTTTATATATATAATTTGATATAATTACTGCTTTAATTGGGTCATTTTGTCAGCTAAAGGCATTTTTTAAGAGTCTCTACACTCCAGTTAATATTGAATCGATTACTAAATTAGCTGATATTGTTGATTTTATAGTTGATGTATCATATTTGCAGTTCAGAGTTGAGGATTTTAGTCTTTTTGTTAAACCTGCCTTGTGAAACGGGCCTCTATTCTGAAATCAAATATCTTGTGTTTTCCTGAGCTAAACGGTTTATTCAGGATATCTGCTCTTCACTCAGCAGACGCCTGCTCTCTGAAGCAAGGCCCACATGACTACATGGTGCATGTCCTAGGATCACATTCCTAAGGGAAACAAACACTTCAGATCATAACATCGCGCTGCTGTCCTCACAACTGCTCTGGCTTTTAAACCACAGAACTTACCTCACTGACAGCGATGGAAATATTTTCCCATCTTTGTCATAAAGGTGACGACCGGCAACTTTCTGATTATCCTTTTTTATGCAGGGTTACAGTAGATATGCTTTTTGTTTTACGTGTACACATCATGTATTAAACTCAGTCTTCCTGAACAATATGAGCTCATTTAAAGCCTAAAAAGAAACCTGTTTTTGGATCATTTTCAGTAGCTAATGTAGGGTTTATGAAACGAGGTCAGTTTGAGTGCTTAAGGCATGCTGATGGATTAGAAATGGTGAGATCGACCATACGACTTTCTGCTCATACTTCAGCAGCTGACAGATGATAGTGTATAAACTAATAAAAATGGATGAAAAGAGCATCTAGGTTTGAAACTTAATGCCCCTCACTGTTTATTAGAAACCATCATGGCAGGCCGTCGGGTTTACAGGTTGTTGTTTTTTTGTCACTTATATTTTATTATTTTTGATCATACAACGAACATACAAATAAAAAGGAGCAAAGTACATTAACATGAACATGTCTGGGTAGCACCTTCTTTTCAGTTTTTCTGTTTATATAATGTCCATTTTTCCTTTTTTTTCATCTGTTGTTCTTATAGTCTATGGATAGTATCATCACCAAAATTGCACAAATAGAGAATTCCAGGTTTCATTGGAATTACATACCCTAATACTTCACATAATACACTGTACACCATTTCCCAGAACTCCAAAAGTTTTTGAACACTTCCAAAAAACATGGGAATGGTTGACATCTATCTCTCCGCACTCTCTCCAACATTCTTTATTTTCTTAACAGTGTCCTGTCTGGCAATGTGGCAATAAGAATAATTATCTTGATGCCAAAAAGAGCCCAACAGATTTTACTTTCACAAGTGGAGCAGAACAGCAATTGCCATACTGCTCCACTTGTTTCAAATTGCTTTATTATAATTATGCAGGGAGTTTTACAGTTTATTTGGACACCGCAATTTAAATAGAGCAGAAAAACAGAAGAAAAGGAAAAAAGGAAAAAAAAAGAGAAAAGATGAAAGAAGAGATAGAAAGGAGATAATGACAAAACATTTTCAGTCTGCTTCATCACCTGCAATGAGATGAAAAAAGAACAGCAGAACCGAAAGACATGGTACGAGACATACAATAAAGCAACACCTTGAAACTATAGCTAAAGTAATATTATTAAGTCTGACATGTACTCTCTCCAACATTCTTGATGCCTATGCAGTTTTTTACTTTTGGACTTGGCGTAATAAAAAATCGTATTCGATTTTTCCAGTCAAATTCCCTCCATGTCCGAGAGCCAGTAGTTGTATGGTGTAGTTTCCACATGTTGAGCCAATCAATATCTTCAATTTCTAAGTCAAATTCTCTTTCCCATTTTCCCTTTACATAGTTAGTTGTATGTTTATCAAGGTTTATTAGGGCTTTGTATAATGCCTTTAATATTCTAATATTACTGTCTTTGTATGCTTTAATAATAATTTGGACCACTTCGCTCTCTTCCACGGAGGGCCTAGGTTTACAGGGGGTTTGGTGGGATAGTCATCTGTAGTATTTAGATCAGTTTGTATCCGTGTTTGTTAAATGTATTGCATCGCCCTGTTGAATTAACCTGACTCCCCCAGATGGATTTGCTCCGCATATCCATCTGGAAACCTTCCGTTGAAGTAATTTTGGGAAGGGGTGAAAATACTGGTTAGCTGATTGGCCTATGTTGGTGATAGACGGGCCAAAACGAGGCATATGACGTACTAACAGAGCGACGACGAAGAGG